GGCAACAAAAACATTTTAAACAAAACTGATAATTGGAAATAAGTACATAAAAAATAAGAATGAAAGGTTTATAAAAAGCAATGCTATTAAAATATATTTTCTCAAAAATCTGTCAATTCTAAAAAGTAACTTTAATAATCTACCACTATGGACTTGCATGTGGTAGTACATGCTGGTAATCCCAGCACTCTATGAGGCTGAGGCAGCAAGATCAAGTTTGAGCCCAAATAAAAAATTAAAAAAGGCTAACAATGTGGCTCACTGTGAAAGCCGTGAAAGCCTTAGTTAAAAAACAAAACAAAACAAAACAAAACTACCACTCTGATGATTCTTTTCAGCAAAAGTAGGCAGAGCTTTCTCCAACTCCTGCCAGCTGCTCGGGAATTCTCTTCCCCTTTGGCATCTTCCTTAGGCATTTCTAGCTGCCTGAAGAGCTCTACTACAATATCCTATCTTATCCTATCCACTTTTATTGGAGTTACCAACACTCTAGGCCAGTGACAGTGAACCTTTTAGAGACAAGTACCCAAACTAAAATTCAAAGCCCACTTATTAAGTGACAACACTGCAATTAAATCAGAATACTGAAGTTTTAGTTTAGAAAAAACTCATACATTGCCATGCTTCGTCTTAAAAGGAAAACCATACATGGGCCACAGGCTCACCACCACTGCTCTTAGGTTAAGTCTCTTTGCTCTGTTCATTTTTAAGGTTTTTTTTTTTTTTTTTTGCGGAACCAGGAATTGAACTCAGGCCCTTGTGCTTGCCAGGGAAGCGCTTACTCCACTGAGCCATCTCCCTGGCCCCTCATTTTTAAGTTTTTAAAATTGTATTTTATTTATTTTTTGAGATGGTCTTAATATATAGTTTGGGCTGGCCTTGGCTCACTTTTGTAGCCCCCAGACTGGTCTCAAACTTGTAGCAATCCTCCTGTCTCAACCTCCCAAGTCCTGGGATTATAGGCATGTGCCACCATGCCCAGTTGCTCTTTGCTCTACTCAAATGTACTCTTTTGTGGGTTTTCAGGTGTTCTGCTGCTTTGTGGCATTAGAAAGAAAATCTAAAATCTGGGATTGGAGATTTGTGGAATAGTGCTTGCCTAGTATGCACAAGCTGTGCCCAAGATTTAATCTTCAGAAATACAAACAAATAAAAAACCCAAAATGGTATGGTAAAAATCCATTTATCCTTTAAGATATAATTTTATGCAGTGAGACCCTGTAGACCCTGTACTAAATAATTTTTTTTAAAAAGAAAAATCCAATCTCCACTGATACAATTTCAAATAAGAGTAAGATCCCACACCCCATGCTACAAAAGTGTGTTATCTGTCCCAGACACATAAAGACTAGGCATGTGTCCAGCTAACGTACATGTGCAGTGGCCAGAGCAAGCTAGGCACCCCCAGAGGGGCTCTCCACCTCAGAATCAGAGGTCATGCAGCCCAAAAGTCACAGGAGTCACCTGTGCAAGGTAACAGCTGGGACAGGATCAGGATCTATGTCTCATGCCTCTTAGATTAAGCCCTCTTATCTCTTTGAACTTGGGAGAAAAAGGACTTACTTCCCATTAGTTTATTTCAGATTCACAAGGCTCAGCAACAATACCTAAGAATCACTGGGGAATCTAAGTGCTTAGTAAGTCTTCAGTGTTTCTTTTGATCTACAAATATATCTTACAGTATTCCTTTTTTGTTTTGTTTTATGGACAGGCTCTTGCTAAGTGGCTAAGTCACTCAAGATGGGTTTGAATTTGCAATCCTGCCTCAGCTACCCTGAGTGCTAGGATTATAGGTGTGTGCCACCATGCCTAACTACAAATATATCTTAGTAACAAAAAAGTGTTGAGTACTATGTGAAAGTTGTGCATGGCTCAATAAGAAACAGGAAGATGAGTTCTTAATTGACCAATCACTATAAACAGCTAGATCTAAACTCAGTGCAAAGGACTTTAAGAACTAGGCAATACTTCCCCCTAGTGCTAAAAGAGAGATATTACAAGCTTTGAGCCACATGCCAAACACAAAAATAGTGTTCCTACAATTTTTATTATGTTTCAAATCAGCTAGTATAAGTCAATGAAGAATTAAAGCTAACAAATGGACAAGATAAGAGGCTGGAAAACATAAGGTAAAGATTTACTTAGGGCTTCAATGATACTGGAAGACTCAGGAAGCCATATATCCTGGTTAATCATAATTTGCCTGCCTTTCTAAAGCCTATTAAACATTTTCAGAGCCAATTGGGAACCTATCCCAGTAAAAGGCTAAGCTTCAGGAAAGAAGCAAGAGAATGTGGGAGGCAGTGAAGAAAAATAACAAACAGGGCTTGTTTTCAACTGTTTCCTTTTTTTAAAAAAAAATTGTATTTTGTACAGGGTCTCACTATGCAGCTTGGAATCATAGTGATCCTCCTGTTTTCAGCCTCTCCACTGCTGGGATTATAGGCGTGTGCCACCACACCCAGACTCTGTTGAGGTTCAGTCAGCTCAGGAGCTTAGCCAGCACAGCATATGGGGCCAGGGATCGAAACCCTGTCCCTGTGCTTGCCCAAGCAAGTGCTTCACCTACTGAGCTATCTTGTAGGCCCTTTTGTTTTGTTTTTGAGACAGGGTCTCACTATGCAGTTTGGGCTGGCCTTGTGCTCTTTTGTAGCCCCAAACTGGTCTTGAACTTGCAGAGATCCTCCTGTCTCAACCTCCTGAGTGCTGGGATTATAAGCGTGTGCCACCAGACGCGGTTCCAGGACCCCACACTGCATGGTGGGTGCCCTGGAATCCGGGCCGAGACTGCACTGCATGTGGGCCAGGGATCGAACTCTGGTCCTTGTGCTTGCCAGGTAGGTGCTTAGGCCTCTGAGTTATCTCCCTGGCTCCTCAACTGTTTATTTTCAAAGCTCACTATTTTGATTAATAACCAGGGATAAACAACATATGGCTCTGTCTGAACCTGGAATAACAAAAAGTTGGTGAAAAGATTAGGGTGAAATACTTGGCTACCATTTTCATCTGCGGCTCAGACAATAGGCATCACTCTTTTACTGACAACAGAATAAATTGTAAGTATTCAATATCTTTGGAACTTATCTAGGAATAACTTGTTCCTAAGTTTTAGTGTGTGCCTGGAACCCTTGAACACTGCAACGCGATGGCAGAAGGACCTGGGAAGAGGAAAGCTAGTCATGTCATGGAGGCCAGGAAACAGAGAAGAGAGAAGCCTGGGAGCGAGATAAGTTCTTTCAGGTCACGTCCCAGTGATCTACCTCTAACCAGGCTCCCTCTCAACAGCAAGCAGGCTAGAGCTCCCCTATAGTCCATCTGATGGTATTCCAAAAGCCTTGCCTTTCAGCACAAGAGGTTCCTGGGAGATACTGACATCTAAGCTATAACAGCATATTACAGGACCTAAACATGTTTAAAGATTGCCTCTCCTTTTTCAAAGTTAGTTTGGAATACTGTTATTGATTGAATTTAATCTTCTTTTCAAACCCTTTGCTGGTTACTGAGCTTCAAAACCAGGCAAAAGAAAGTACTCAGCATTTGGAGCCATGTTCCTTTATTCCTATCCCACCAATCTTCCACTGTGATCACAAATTGTAAAGCATCACATTTCCATGGCAAGGAGCACATCCAGCCTGCTACCACAGGTTACTTCCTGGCTGTTTCATGGCACACACAGAACACATACTATTGGTCAGTTCTTCAGGGATAAAGAAGGCTGCTGTTGGCTAGTTCAGTCTGGATTCCAGTCATTCTAGCCCTGCCAGATTGCCCAAGACTTTTCACTCTATCTCAGAAGACCTATAATGTAGAGATATATACACCTATGACATCTATAGCTTTACTCCTAAACCATCTGCCACTTTTAAACATAGTCTGCCATATTTTGCAATAGATCATCAAAACCTACAAGTTACAAAAATTATAACCCAAATAAAGGAGGCTTGTTTACCTTTCACTGAAAAGGAACAGGGAGAAAGATTCCTCACCAAAATGTAAGAGGGCCCAGGAAGGTAGGGTGGCTTAGGTGTGACAAACTCAGTTCCAACCCCATGTGAAATCTTTCCTACCAAGGGTTCAGTGGGCTACAGTTCCTTTAGTTTATACCATGCACTCAGGGTCTTATTCTCACTTTTTCCAAATGGAAATAAGATGACACTTTTGCTTAAAAGTAAATACTTAAAGAGAAAGTGACACATTGGGTGACATTTTGTACTAACAGTGACAACTATAGAAAAAAAATCTGATAGGTAATTTAATGATCCAGAATACTTACCAATCTTTTTGGGATATGTTCTTATTATAAATATGCCCAGGATTTTCCTTATAAGGAGGACAGATACATTTACATCGGACATCCTCAAAATTCTGTAACCAAAACAGAAACTTGATATAACTTGTTTATAGTTTATCATCAGTATTTTAAAAAATTGCATGTAAACATTTAGCTAGGTGTCCCTTGTCAAATATTCTAAAACCATTCTAAAACATAAGTTTTGAGAGACACAGGTTTCTGAAAGCCACTAATCCTTTATGGCAGTTAATTGGCGGGGAGATTGCTCAGTAGAATAAGCGGTTGCCTGGCAAGTGCAGGGTCCTGAGTTCAATCCCCAGTACCGCAAACAAAACAAAACAAAACCTAATCCATGATCTTTAACTTCTTAATCATGCTTATGAATCCCATGACAATCCAACTGTATCAACGTTATCCCCATCTACCTGCCAGATGACAAAAGTTGTACGTATAAATAAGAACTGCCAGATGACAAAAGTTGTACGTATAAATAAGAATGCTGATTACAGAATGGAGGGAGAATCAAACTAAAAATTATTTATGAACACATCACAATTCTGAGAATATAGCTCACTGTACAGTGTGTACTTAGAATGTCTTAGGAACATATACAAACACAAGTCACAACTTAACCTACCATCCTTTACTATTTGAAAGAAAGATACTAACATGGATAAAATGAGATAAACTAGAGGCCCATAGGAGGGATGAATTTTTAGAGACAGCTTCAACTAAAAAGGAAGTACACAGGGAAAGTAGCTTGATTTTAGCTGAGATCAGTTTGATTTACTCTTCTCAGGGAATTTTGCTTCTCATCTTGGTTACAGAACTGCTACTCACAAAAAAGTTTCAAGAGGTAAATGAAGAGGTGATTAAAATATACAGCAAGAGAGCCGGGGAGATAGTTCAGTGGCATAAGCACCTGCTGGCAAGCATAAGTTCCTGAGTTTGATCCCCAGTACAAAAAAAAAAAAAGTTTAAAAATGAAATATATAGCAAGAATAGGAAATGCTTCCTTGTCAAAGGGGAATTTACTTGAAAAGGTGGTAGTTCATTAGTCTCAAGAGGACCATCACATTGCTTCTGCATACGATACAACTGACAGAGCTGCTGACAACTGATAAACTTACTCAGCAACCACTTAAGACACATACTAGTGTGCCAGAACTTGTGCTCAGTGAGGTGGATTCAGATAAGTGTAAGCCCTGGTTCCTGCTAAACCACACCCTGGCAAGGGGTGGCTGACACATACACGACTCTGATATACTGCATAAAGTGATGATAGACAATACACAGAGAGTGCCAGTAAATAGTGTGTCAAAAGTCAGCAGAACTGCTGGTGGGAGGTCAGCAAGTTTTCAAAAAGAATTGATCAAAAACATCCACCACTCTATAATTTGCCTTCTTTTTTTTCTAGGCCCTATGTTTAAAAATACTACAGAGATTTCTCTGTTCATGCTCATCTGTGGAGGCAACAGGCAGAGCCATACTATGCAGAACTACACCAACGAGTTTGTGGACTTGTACGTGCTATGGAAATGCTCCACCAGCAACCGCATTATTGGTTTTAAGACCATGCATCCATCCAGATGAACGTGGCTGAGGTTGACACGGTCACAGCCAGGTTTAACAGCCAGTTTAAAACCTATGCTATTTGTGGGGCTATTCGAAGGATGGGTGAATCAGATGACTCCATTCTAAGATGGCCAAGGCTGATGGCATCATCTCAAAGAACTTTTGAGTGGAGAGAGTTGTGGATGTGAAACGTCTATCACAAAGAGAATGTTAAAAAAAAAAAAACCAAAAAACCCAAACAACAACAACAAAAAACCCCTACAGATTAAAGCTTCTATTTAAGAAAATGTGTCATTCTGTTTTCCCAACACACTACTATGAATTCCCTCTGTTCTGCCCAATAATGAGTGACCTCATTAAGGAGGAAGCCCAAGTATGCAGGAGTCCGGGGCAGAAATGGGCCAGAAGGGGCACAAAGCGTTGAGAAACAGAAGTAGGGAAAAGGCCATAACCTCACCTGCCCTACAGTTTGGTTCTTCCCTTACCACAAACCTGTCAGGAAGAGAGAAAGTAAGAAAGAGGGTGGCAACAGGTCCTGGAAGGAGTTAGGTGAGAATACTGAGCCAGGGACAGACACTCTGTGGTGGAATCGAGAGAGGCTGCCTGGAGAGGCGAGTGCCCACGAAGGGAAGGGAATGTGCTGGGGGCGGAGGGGCGATAGCTCCTGACAGGAAAGACGCCAGAGATGGGGGCTTCTTACTTGGCTTGGAGACTTGGGGAAGCTGCGAGGTGGTGGAGGGCGGGGTGGGCTGTCGGAGCTTATGGGGGGAAGTCAGAGCTCTCGGACCTGGCAAGGTGGCAAGCTGGAAGCAGGTGCTGGTGGAGGTTGGAAGGGAAGCGTCCAGCGGTGAGGGACTGCCGCCCAGGCCGGGGCGGTGTCAGTCGGCACTGCCCGCTGTGAGCGCTGCGGGCGCGAGTGCTACTGGCGGCCAGCGCCGAGCGGCGGGGGGCGGCCCGGGCAGGGCCGGGGGGCGGCTGTCAGGGCTGGGGAGGGCCCGGTGGGCTGCCTCCGGCCGACTCTGTCTCCGCGAGACCCGCGGCAGGGGAGGGGCTCCTGTCAGGAGCGCAGGGGGGCGGGACTCACCTTGGCGGCCGCCGTCAGCTGCACCAGCGCGGGGAGCACCAGGCAGGACAAGCTGAGCACGGAGCCGAGCCGCAGGAGGCCTGGGCATGGGGACGCCATCGCGGGAGCCCGCCGGCCCGCGCACCCACAGGCCTGCTCCCAGCTCTGGATCCGGCTCGGCTCGTCCGCCCGCACTTCCGTCCGGGCCTTCGCGTCACAGGCCGCGCCGGGTCAGCTGTGAAAAGTATCCGCCCCGGAAACGGTTCCCTGCGCGAAGGGTCCGGAGGCCGCGCGGTCCGGGCGTCTGGCTGCCTTGCCTGCGCCCCGGGACGCAGAAGGGCCGCTCGCTCCGGGACGACGGCCAAGGGCGCGGGGGCGCTCGGGTGCCTTCCGCGGGCGCAGAAGCAGTGAGGTCCAGGAGAAGCGCCGTGGCGCTCAGAGTCCTGAGACCCCAGCGACTCCAGAGGTCCCAGGGGGCCGCCACGGTGCCCTCGGGGCCGGACTCCAGGATGCGCCGAGCGCGGCCTATGCCGGCGCCAGGCTTCGGGTCCCAGCCGACCATGCCTTCCCCGGAGGGCACCCAGCCGCGCGGTCGGGGCCGGCTCCCGCACCCCGAGACTGACCTTCGGCCCGCGGCCTGGCGCACCCGCGCCGCGCGGGGCTCCCTGTAGTCCCGCCGGCCTCCCCGTGGGTGTGGCTTCCGCTCGGGTCGACCGGCTCGGGCCGGCCCTCGGCTGGGAAGGGGCCCCGGCGGCGGGTCTGGGCAGGCTCGGCCGGGCTCCCGAGCCTGCGGCGTTGGCTCCGGAGCGGCCCCACAGCCCTCTCCGCCCAGGATCCCGGGAGGTGGGGAATCGCCCGCCACGCCCCGGCGAGGCCGTGGCTGTCCGGGCGGCCGATTCCTAAGAGCGGGGAGAGCGCTGACCGGCTCGGGCTCCCCGGGGCGCGCCTTCTCCGTAGGTGCTTTAGGAGCTCCCTGGAGATTGCGTAAATCTCCATGAAAGTATTTTTCAGTTAGTGGAGGTAGGTAATGGGAAAGAGGCGGGTTCCGTCACAACCTGTAGAAATTTTCTGAATGACCATGGACAAATCATTTCTCTGGTTGTCTGGTTCTTGGCTCAGTATGAGGGATCCGAACTTTAATCAGCCTCAAAAGATCTATTCCGGGGCCAAGGAGATAGCTCAGTAGAATAAGCGCTTGCCTGGCAAGCGCAGGATACTGAGTTCAATACCCGGTACCAAAAAAAGAATCTATTCCTATGACTGCTGTCTCCATCTCTAAATAGATCTTAGAAGTCCTTTCCTAGTTTGTGAAAATGTTTTAATTAATAGATAAAATTTTCTCAGTATTTTTCTCCCACGTGATCCCTTTTACTGCTAGGCTACACTCCAACACGAGGTGTTTGCTATTGTTTCAAATATATTTAGCCCTTTTCAGTGCCAAATGACAAATGCCACCTGCCTCAACCAGAACCAGAACAGGACTAGATGATGTCTTAGGCTCCTGTGAAGATGCTGTCAGACTGATAAGTTATCAGGCCTTTGTATTGGGTATTCTGCTGGCCAGAGGACAATCTGGATGTCCCCCCCCCTTGGGTCAAGTATATTATTGGTGCAGCACAGTGGCTCTCATTGCCAAAAGTGATACAGCAGCAAATTTGGGATTATTTTTAGAATTGTCTCTTTCTGATGCAAAAAAAAAAAAAAAAAGTGCTCACCTTGGCTGAACCTTTCTCTTCCACTGCTAAAATTGTTTCCAAAGCCGGTGAGATAGCTGTAGAATAAGTGCCTGCCTCGTAAGTGCAGGGTCCTGAGTTCAATCCCCGGTACCAGAAAAAAAAATTGTTTCTAGGTTGGAAAGATAGCTCCGTGGTCTAAGCATCTCCCTGGCAAGCATAAGAACCTAAGTTCGATCCCCGGTACCACATGTCATGCTGGCCCCACACACCATGCCAGCCACTGAAACCAAGTGTGGTGGCTGGTGCATGCCTGTAATCCCAGTGCTGGGGAGGCTGAGACAGGAGGATCACTAGGGTCTGAACTGCATAGCAAGACTCTAACAAATAAAAAGTAGTTAAAAAAATAAAATTGTTTTCAAGGCCTTAAGGAGTAGAGGGTTAAAAGAAATACACAGTATTTGCCTTAATGGGATTTGGCCTTCTCTGGATTTAATTTAGTTTATTTGAGATTAGCTTTTACTATATTGTCCAGGCTGGTCTTGAATTTGTGGGCTCAATTGGTCCTCCCCCTTTAGCCTCACTTAGCTGGCACCATATGTTTAATAGAGAAATCCCAAATATACTCCAGACTTTTTTTTTTTTTTTTTTTCTTGTGCCAGAATTTTGCACATGCCAGGCAGGCATTTATGCCACTGAGCTATCTCCCAGGCCCTGGGCAGCATTTTAGAGCTGCCTTGTCCAAGACAAGTTAAAGCTGTACTGTTGCACTACTACATGTGGTAAATGCAAATTAGAAATATGGCTAACGAGCAATACTGAAAATAATATATATATATATATATATTACACTAAATTTTAAAGACAACATAAAAAAGTGTAAATACCTTATTGGTTGAAGTTTATTTCACATATATTAGTTAAATAAATTATATTTTAACTTTTACTCCTTAATTATGGCTGCTAGGAAGTATTCTGCTTATATTAGGCAGCACTGTTGTAGACCACACTGTATTGCGGCCTCTAGTGGTGTGTGACTCTAACAGGGCCCAACTAGAGAATGAAGATTAAGCCTGAGGGGAAAACAAGGGTGACAGGAACTGGTACAGGTAGAAATGAAGGCTGGGGAGAAACATGTCTTGCAACAAATGAAAGTAATTTGAGGTAAGTCAACAGAAGGTGAAGGATTAGTTCATCTTACTGCATTCCTCTTAGACCTTGGTTACCCTTTTCTTTGGTCAGGGGTCTTGTTAGAAACCTTTTCCTGACCAGAAACTCTGTGCAGATCTTTCCTAACTTGGCTCATTTTGGTAAAATTATGTTTTTGTTTTTTTGTATTTTGTGCAGGGTCTCACTATGCACTTGGAACTTGTAGTGATCCTCCTGTTTTCAGCCACCCCAGTGCTGGGATTACAGGTGCAAGCCACCATGTTGGACTTGTTGCTGGCTCAGTGTGCCTGGAGATGCCAGGGATCGAACCCCAGCTCCAGCACTTGTCTAAGCAGGCACTTACTCCGCTGAGCTATCTCGCCAGCCCTTAAAATTATGTTTTTATATCTCCCTTTACACTCCCAATCTCCACCAAAGTACTGTGAGCTCTTTGAGCATAAGGAACTTGTCTTATTATCTTTGTACTGAGATAAAAGCAGTAAATGTGAAGGCCAGGAAGAGGAAAAAGGGGAATGGGAAAAACTTCGCTAGTTGGTCCAAAAAATAGTACCAGGTACTTACTCACTTGATTTCTGACCATGAGAGGTGATGCCGAGATACCTGAAGAACAAATGGTGGGATCTCCTGGATCTGGGCACCACCGCAGGCAGGAGAGCTTTACCCAGGATCTTAGGACTTGACCACTTCAGAGCCATTCTGCTTACAAGCAGGACTGGCTTTAGTATCCACCCTCCCCTGCTCTTTTCCTTGCTTTCCTGTAACTAGGTTTCCCTACCACATTCCTCAAATGACACAGGTCTAAGTGTACCCTCCCACCTGGCCTGGGCCCTCTCACTGTGAGGCCTAAAAAGTACTGTAGTTGGGGATTGTTCAGAAGGCAAGAGAAGCCTCTAAATTTGACTATGACAGGAAACTAGGAAACAAGTAAAATACATGTATCTAGAACAAATTTGTCTGGGACCAAGGCTCTGCCAGCTGTCCACAGCTCCTCATCCATAACCTCCAGTAAGTACATTTCTGCAGGGTACCTTTTCACTTTATCCACTTCCCAGGTCACACCAGTCCAAACAACTGGAGTCCTGCACAGTATCAGCGATTTCCTTGAGTTGTGATTCAGTGGTTGTGGAAGGACACACACAAGGTTCTTGCGGCTGTTCCTTAGCAGGTCCTGGGAGTGCCCTCAGCTCTCTCTCCATGGCATGCCTCTTGTGCTCAGTCTCCTTGTGCTCAGCCCTACTTAGTGAGGTTTTCTGCTCTCTGTGCCTATAAAGCCACATAAATGTGCTGTATCTTGTAATCTTTTGCCAGAACCTGTTGTAACATCACTGTGGGGCCAGAATATTATGTTTCTAGAGGGAAGAGAACAGTTCCTCCTCTCATTACAAATATTTTCAAATAAACGCATTAGTGATATTTATTTTTATATTAACATATTACACTTCTAAAAATCAGTTACTAACACTAGTTTTATAATGAAAGACAGAAGGCTTTACCCCAGCTCTCTATGCTCTCAATTTCTATTTCCCAAAGATAATTGCTTCTTAAACTTTTAAATATCTCTTTGGAATCATATTTTTAAGCAGCATATTTATGTACTGTACTTAATTTTTCAGTTTGGGTCATTATTTCCTGCTATAAGAAATTAGGAGGGGCCGGGGAGATGGCTCAGTGGAATAAGCACTTCCCTGGCAAGTGCAAGGGCATGAGTTCAATCCCCAGTTCTGCCAAAAAAAAAAGAAAGAAATTAGGAAATGCTTTTTACTCTAAAGCCTTCTCAGAAACACATTTATTATTTCTGCATCTTTGGGGGCCTGGCCCTAGCTCAG